CTCCTCCATTCAGCTCTCTGGAACAGTCACACCAGCATCAACTTCCTGAACACCATGATCAGCTTTAGCAATGGAATGCTACAGACAGCTGTATACGAGAAACCCAGGGATTACCACATCTGCTTTCACAGATCCAGGAACCACCCTAAACACATCAAGAAGCCAGGCACTCAGCTATCCCAGAACATGTTCCAAGGAGAAAGTCCAGGATATACATCTTAAAAACCACCTTCAAACAGGGGCACTCCACCAGAGACGTAGATTGCATCCTGGAAGAGGCCATCCATATACCCCAAGAGACTGTGTTTCAATATAGAAATAAAACCCTTTTCCGCTGTAGTCCCCTTGCTGCGACCTACCCTCACGCATACCTGCCTCCTGCCACCTAGGCTGGATGGAGACAGCCTCCTGAGCAAATCCTTTCCTAAGCCCCTCTTTCAGCCTTCAGTCTAGCTCCCAACTGTCCAAGCTCATCAGCGCAGGTACGCTCCCCACTGTGATCAGAACACATCAGCTCCGAGCACCACCCCACCCCGCCAGAACAACAAATGCTAAACGTGCAGCCATCTTGCCACTGCTACAATGATCGGCACCCCCCACACAACACACCTTTCCACATCTGTGGGTCCTACGCTTACCTGTCACGTGGCGCACCTCATCCACTGCACTACATACCCCAGTAGTAACCATGTGAGTGAAACCAGACACTCTCTATACCCTTGAATGAACTCCTACTGAAATATGAGAGAAGACACAAACACCGTATCACCCCGAGGCTTGGTGTACACTGCCAACTTATGTCCATGTCCATCGGCATGGAAAAGCCACAGAGAACGCCTCCTGTTGGCATAGGTAGCACCTTCACTAAGCGCCACAGGGGTGCAGCTGCGCCCCTGAAGCACAGTCCATGTAGATGAGCCCTGAATGACGGGTTGGAATGTAGAGCAGGCCCAAGACCTGCAGAGGAGCTGTGTGTAAGCTTGAAAGCTTCTCACAAGCCAGAGCTGGGGCACAGCCAAAGAGATTCCTTCCCTCACCTTCTCTGACGTAGGGTCACCTGTTTTCAGGCCTCGTCTCCCTCGGCAGTTGTACTGTTTTAACTCAGTCCGTTTAGAAATGGATTTAGTTAAATCAGACCAGACCTGCTCTCACTTTGACTGGAGTGCCGGGTATCAACGTACCCGACGTCAGTTCCTTGCTGGCCAAGACCAGAGGGGCCTTCTAGTATGTATGTTGAGGCTTCCCCCAGCTGCTCTTTTCCTTAGAAACATCCCATTTCACGTGAAGTAGAAAATTGGGGCCCTTGCTACTTGAGGTGACTCAGGATTTTCAGGACGCTTTTTTTCAAAGAAGAGTATGTCCTGGCCAAACTGCCAGCTGTGGTGAATTATGTTCTGGCCCCTTCATAAGCCCCTGCCGGATCCGCTGGCTGTGTGCTGCTAAGCAACTACTGCCTTAGTTGTAGCTTCGCTCTGGCAGGGGGTGAAGAGTCTTTCGGGGGAGCTGACTAGGGATGTAATCAGTTAACTGGTTAAACATTGTTTAACGGATTAACCATTTAAACTGGGCCGGGTTGGAGCAGTACCCCCGCCATGGCTAGGCGCCAGCCCCTGCTGGTTAACCATAAACCGGTGAGCATCGCCCAGTAAGGGTGCTACTTACCAGTTAACCATTCGCAGCCCTTGCCCGCACACTCTCTGGCACCCCAGCAGTGATTTTAAAGGCCCTCGAGCTCCAGCCATCACTACTCTTGCAGTAGCAGCAGCAGTGGCGGGGAGCCCTGGGCCCTTTTGAATCACCTCCCCCTAGTAGCAGGCATGGGCTCTTTGGATTGTGTATGAATAAGCCCTGTTTTGTTACGTGCTGCAAACCGAGCGATGCTATGGAGGGGCTGCGTTCAGATCCATGTCAGTGCAACTGAAGGACAGTCTCCTTTCCAGGAGCTTTTCTTTTTGAAGAGGGCTCATGTGAAGGAATCCATACATTGGTGGTTATGGCTTAGTGAGGGCTCTGAGCGATCCTCCGTTGTCTGCCGCCCTCTCCGCTGCAGCAGTGCAGCAGGACAGATCATTAGTTGGTAGCACAAGGATTTCTCAGAAGAGTGGGACAGACCTCTGAGTCGGGGAATTCCTTCCGTAGAGTCAGAAGTGAGTCCCTTACTGGCCCCATGTACAGAGTATACGTATCGTTCTAATACACAGAGCACCCTGTGTGGTAGGAGTTACTAGCAGAGCGTGTGGTCATGGTTCATGCTACTTTATTGCGAGCAGACTGGGAGTTCCCCAGCAGTCCTGAGGTAAACAGGTTGAAGTTTAATAAGGACAAATGCAAAATACTCCACTTAGGAAGAAACTAGGATTGCCAGGTGGTTTCAACAGAAATACTTAACTTAACGTTACATCACCATCTATATTACAGCTTAGTTAGAAAATACTGGACATTTCTATTTTCTCAATTTGTTTCCCAAACAGAAAGCTCAAATACTGGACTGTCCAGTTCAAAACTGGACACCAGGCAACCCTAGAAGGAACAGTCAGTTGCACACATACAGAATGGCAAGGGGCTGTCCAGGAAGGAGTCCTGCAGAAAAGGACCTAGGGGTCATAGTGGCCACGTGTTAATAGTGTGACATTGTTGCAAAAAAAGCAAACCTGATTCTGGGCTGCATTCACACAAGTGTTGTGCGCAAGACACGAGAAGTCATTCTTCCGCTCTACTCTGCGCTGGTTAGGCCTCAGTTGGAGTATTGTGTCCAGTTGTGGGCACCACATTTCAAGAAAGATGTGGAGAAACTGGAAAAGGTCCAGAGAAGAGGACCTTTGATGAAAGGTCTAGAGAACATGAGCTGTGAGGCAAGGCTGAAGGAATTGGGCTTGTTTAGTTTGGAAAGGAGACTGAGAAGGGACATGATAGAGGTTTTCAGGTATCTAAAAGGGTGTCATAAGGAGGAGGGAGAAAAATTGTTCTTCTTGGCCTCTGAGGATAGGACAAGGAGTAATGGGCTTAAACTGCAGCAAGGGAGGTTTAGGTTGGACATTAGGGGAAAGTTCCTAACTGTCAGGATGGTTAAACACTGGAATAAATTGCCTAGGGAGGTTGTGGAATCTCCATCCCTGGAGATATGTAAGAGCTGGTTAGACAGACACCTGTCAGGGATGGTCTAGATGGTGCTTGGTCCTGCCGTGAAGGCTGGGGACTGGACTAGATGGCCTCTCAAGGTCCCTTCCACTTCTAGTGTTCTATGATTCTGAGTAAGGTATTGCTGCCCTACAAGAGACTTGGAGCTTAGATCAAATATGCCTAAAATCCCATTCAAGCTCCCCTGTTTTTGACTGCTTTCACTCCCCTAGAGTGCTTCCCTGCTGGGCCCAGTTTTCCTCCCTTCACATGCCAGCAGCAGCCTGAGATGAGTCAGCAAACCCCTTTCTTGAAGCAACTAAGCGCCGGCTTCTCTTCAGTCTCTTTGCTGCCTGCCTGTTAACACCACCAGGGAACACATGGCATCTTGCCTGTGTGTAAATCCAAATGAGACCACCACAGGGTAGGACGCATGGGTTGCCAGCCTCCATAACGGGCACGGCTCTCCTCTGAAGAGAGGCTGTGAGCTGTTGAATGAGCATGGGCCAATGTAGGCCTGAGAAACAGGAGTGTCCAGGGGCTGGTAAGAATTTCTGTAGCTGCTAGCATAGTTTGAATGCTGGCTGTCAGCTATCACTGCGGGCCCAGAGCCAGGGTTGATTAATGGGAGAGAGCTGAACCAGTTTGTCGGGTGCTGCTGTATATTGAGTAAGCAGGTAGTACTTGAGGAAAGACTAAATATGGGAATGCCCTCACAGGAACATCAATTTCCCCTGGGTATTAGCCTAGTTGCCTGCTCACTGCTGAGTCAATAATGGAAGCGTGTACAGAAACCAGGCTTTCTGTGGTGAGTATTTTATTCCCCAGACAAAAGCCCTCTCCAGGAAGCATCAGCGGGGAGAAAGCGCTGTGTTGCGCTAGGCAATAGGCATATGCCGTTGGGTTTGCTTTCTTGGGCTTCCTGGGGCCAGGATTGTGCGTAGCATGAAGCAGAGCCTGGGGCCAGTGTCTTCGTGCTTTGGGAACTCTGCGGGCAGCTTGTCTTTCACTTGCGAGCAGAGGTTGGGAGGGTGAAACCCACTTGAGAACTTTTGTAATGGTGGCACGTTGGGCTCTGCGATGTAGCCAGACCTGGGCAGTTTAAAATACGATGCTCAGTAGACTAAATTCAGTTACAAAGTGGCAGATGGTACAGTGGAGAGAACGCACAACCAGCCTTACCTTGCTACCTTCCCAAGCCGCGTGGGAGACAACTGGGCCAACAGACTTCCTGTGTGACAAGTCACTTCGCAATTAGATACCTGCGGCCGGCCCAGGCCAGCTGACTCAGGCTGCGGGACTGTTTATTGCAGTGTAGACAGTGCGCTTGGGCTCCCTGCCTGGAGCCCACATGTCTACACAGCAATTAAACACCCTGAGCCCTGTCAGCCTGTGTCAGCTGGCATGGGCCAGCCCCATGGTTTTAATTGCAGCGTAGGTGGTTCCTTGAAGGCTAATGCTTCCTTTCTCCTTGGCTTGACTTTGACTGTAAGCTCTTTGGGGCAAAGACTGACTCATAATATACCTACAGAATGGCCCCTCCATCCCTAACAGCACTAGCCCAAGCTATCAGACAAACAGGCTCTGCATTGGTCAGCCAAGTTTCAGCAATATATGCAGAGTGTCATGGTCAGATGCTCAGATAAGCCTATGGATGCAATATGGAAACTGAGGTGAAGTCCTGGTTTATCGTCACCTCCACCACTCTCCTTGTATCAAATAGCACAGACCCGAGCGGCACTGGAAACGGTCAGTGATGCTCAGTGAAGGGATGCTGCTCTGTATACCTGTCCTAAAGGAGCCGTGCTGTGTGTAATTACTGTACAAAAATCCCGCTGGCCGTGGGGGAGAGGCCCAGGCAGTTAAACACGTGTATTTTCCAGCCGTCAGCCTGAGCCACCAAAGAAGGAGAAGGAGACAGCTACGACCCCCAGCTCTCAGTCCAAGAGAGCAGACGAATGGAAGGACCCCTGGCGCCGATCCAAGTCGCCTAAGAAGAAGCTTGGGGCATCTGCCTCTCCCAGCCGCGCACGCCGACGCCGGAAAACCTCTGCCTCTTCGGCGTCAGCCTCTGGCTCTTCTAGGTAAATGGAAGCAGGGAGGACGGAGGGAGAGCTAATTGCTGAGCCTCTCTTGGATGTGGTGACTTGTCCGGATTAGCAGCCACTTCAACGGGCATGTGCAAGTCTCGGTGGCCTTTTGGAGCACAACTTACTGCTCCCGTGTAGCATTCCTAGAACTGGAGCAGTAGGAATGGCGTTCAAGCAGGTGATTGCAGCAGGAAAGGAGTGGCTTGGAACATTAGTATAAACCGGAGGGGGGAGGGGGCGCGCCTCGGTTTACTAAGGGTTGCGGCACTGAACTGCCATGGGGAGCAAGGGAAGGGAAGCCCTCCAAACAGCCGCTGTAGCTAGTGGAATACCCCAAGAAATTAAAACTTGAGGGAGGTTCATCTGGCTGTAATCAGTACTGGGGGGAGGGGACCCAGATAAATCAGGTCTAGCTCACGCCTGGGGTAGCAGCAGGAAGGGGACTCTAGGACGGGATGTGCTTTCACTGGTGAAGGAGTCTGGTAAAAGCAGGGAGCATGGAGACTGGAGCTCAGGAACAGGGTTGAACAGCGCCGTAGAGGACAGAACACCCCAGTGGAAGGCAGGTATTGAATCAGGGAGCGTTTGAGGCACAGGTCTGGAGCCTATCACCCTTTAAAGACTTGAATTTCGGGTTCTCCCCCACAAAAGGATTTCCAGCACCCGTGAGATGCACGGAACATGCCAAACTGACAGGGGTTGGGTCTGTAACAGGTGTAAAACGCTGGTAAGAGAAATCCTGACCTTTTTTCTTAAGAACTGCTGCATTCTCTGGATTTCTCCCTCATTCTGATCAGCAGTGGGCAGGCCGTCTTGGCCCAGCAAGGAACAAGCAGCTAGTGACAGGGTTAAACATCATATATAGAGCTAGATTCTGGGATGGATAGTCAGCCTGCTCCAGGTGGCTGGGGAGGTGGTGGCAGCAAGAGATCTTTTTCCTTTGAAGGAGGAAATGGGGGAGAGGGGTGCAAGGAGAGAAAATGTAGGTGGGTCGTGAAGATGGGATGGGGGTTGGGAATGTGAATGATTTTCATGGGAGTCCCTAATACTAAGCCCTGAAAATGAGAACGTTGTGCTCCCCACTATGAGTTGTTCAATCTTTTTCTTCCAGGTCGTCTTCTCGCTCATCGTCCTATTCTGGTTCTGGTTCTTCACGGTCTCGTTCCAGATCCTCTTCCTACAGCTCCTACTCTAGTCACTCTTCCAGACACAGTTCTTTCTCAGGCAGCAGATCCAGGTACTGTTCCTCTGCAGCTGTTGTGTTAGAAGACAATCTTCTACTCAGCAAAGTAGTTCGGCAGGGTGCTTCATTTTAAGATAGTTTTTGGGTTACTCTAATAACTAAAAGCAGATACAAAACCAGTGTTGGGAACAAAAATAGTCAAGCCAGTGCTGATCTTCAACAGCAAGAACAGCATATAAAAGTAGTTACTGGGAACTAAAACACTGCAATAATTCCAGAGCACGTGCTGCCTCTATTTCAAAACAGTGTTTCATAGTCTCTCACCAAATAGCGCCAGTCAGTGGACGGGTCTGGGGTTTTCTCTGTGGAAGCTGTCGTTTATTGCTGCTTTCCCGTTGATACTTTCAGTACCTCTCATTCATACATGTGAGGTCCGAAAGAATCACTTTCACTGTTCAAAAGAACTGGAAATGAAAGCCTTGCAAAGATGTAAACTAGATTTTTAAGGTTAGTTGGTTTTGTTATTACTTCTATCACTTGAGGATTGATTTAACAGCCATAAACCAACTCTTAAAATATTTCCCTCCATTTTGTTTAAATAGAGAAGCTGAGTTAGCCCTACTCTGCGTCATATAAGGGTTATTTTAATTGTTTTAGTATTTAATGTTTAAAATTCTGCCTCTTCTGAACTGCTTATCAGATAGTCGACACGCTAGTTGACTAGTCACTTCCCCCCTTCCCGCTGCCTCAATCAGAAAGAGGGGGCGCTTCAAAGCTGCCACTTTGAAACGCCACAGGGAGCACAAGGCCAGCAGGGGACTGCTGGCAAATTGCATCGACTATTCTATTAGCCAATTCATCTGAATTTAACGTCCCTAGATTGTGAAATACTTTAAGGCTGTGTCTAGACTACACAGTTCTTCTGGAAAAAGATATGTAAATTGTGAACCGCAATTGACATATCTTTTTCCACTTCTTTTTTCGGAAAAGGCCTTTCTGACATTTGGCCCTTCTACACTGGGCCACATGTCAGGGAAAAAACCTTTTTTGGAACATCCCTTTTTTCTCATAAAACGAGGTTTACAGGGATACCAAAAAAATGCATCTGCTCTTCCAAAAATTTTTTCGGAAGGCAGAGTTTTTCTGGGATACCAAAGGTATCCCAGAAAAACTCTGCCATCTAGACGTACCCCGAGATCTACTGATGAAGCATGCTATATCGTGTAGTATTATTCATCTTTTCCATCCTACACTGCAATTTCCCTTTGAAGAGAAGGATCTCATTTCTTGACAGGAGCCAGCCTGTGAAACTGTCTTAAAGATGGTTTGCTATTTTGAAATGACACTTTTCCGCCATAGTGCTGGTAGAATTCCAGTGTGTTTATTGCTTTGCCGCTCACCTAAACTGAGTGAGTCTCACAATAGTTTCCCTGAATCAGGATGAAAATAGGAGGAAGACTTGCTCCCGGCCTGGGCACCTTGCTAGGGTTGAAATCCTCAGCATGGACCAAATGAAAACAGAAGTGTGCAGACTTTCATTTGAGCTTCTTTTGCCAATGGAGGAGTTGCTCTAGAGATGCAAGTGCTTATAGGAGAACTGGAGGCAACGGAAATTAGCTTCTCACTTTGTCCTCCCCTGACCTCCACCTTCTCTTTGTTGCAAAACACTGCCTTCCCGTACAGCACCAGTCAATCTGACCTGTTTAACGTGGGCTACTGCTCCTGTCAGAGAAAATGAGGAAACTCCCAACTACCTTTCCAAGATTATTCTTTATCTGATGGAAAAGTTGTGCAAACAAACCAGTCTTCTGGTCCTGGGAGGTGTTGGACTGCAAAAGACTTCAATCCTGGTAGTAAGGTGACTCATCTATCAGTTGAGATTGTCAGTTCTAGCACCACTTGGTACTGGTGGGTCACTTGACTGCGTCTCTGCCAGTCCAGGAAATAATTTCTGCACTTGGCTCTTTCAGCTTTCACGTGCTCTCCTTGATGGTTGCCTGAGCATTTCAGGAAATTACAGGTGCATGATCTCTCCCAGATCTCTCCCAGTTTTTTTGTCACTTACTAGCTAAGTGACAGTGTTTCTGAGCCAGAGAATGTAGGAGACACAATTCTCTTCGTAAAAACCCATGCTGTGTAGCCGTCTGTAGTGAAGTGTGGAGCCAGGCATTAGTATGGAATAGCTGAGAACCAGTCACTGTCTGTCTAACATCCAGTTTTCCCTCCGAATTCCTCTCCCCCTTCCTGGAATCTAGAGCAGAGGGTAGGTATGAAACTGAGAGAGCAAGCTGAGTCCCACTAGAAGTAATCAGTGTAATACATCCACCTGCCCCAGGAAGGAAAGGTACAAATGAGACTAGGGTATTTCACACACTAGCGATGTAAGTGGCTAGTCAACTATCTGATAAGCAAAAGCTGTGGTGGGGGGAGAAGGGGATGCTGGGGGGAGCTGTCTTAAAAGCCCTTTCTCCCAGCTCCGTGGGAGGGGTCAGAGGAGCAGCGGCAGCGTGCCACCTTTGAAATGTACAAGACTTTTCCCCCCACAGGCTCTTGTGCATTTCAAAGCGGAAGCTTGGCATGGAACCCCGGGACCAGAGGGGGACTCGGTGTGTCACTTCTGCCTTTGAAATGGAGCAACAGCTGGGCAGGCTCTCACTACATTTTGAAGCGGAAGCGCCCGTATCGACTAATCAAATAGTTTGATGGACATTCCATTGACTATTTGATTAGTTGATTCGTCTAATTTTAACATCCCTACCATGCACCTGAAAGACCTGGAGAGTGCAAGTGAGGGGACCTTTTACAATCCCAGGGACTGAATCAGACACTAGAAACCTCTTCCTCCCAGTGCTAATCTTTTATTTTTTAATTGTCCAGGTCGCGGTCCTTCTCCTCTTCCCCCTCTCCCTCCCCAACACCATCTCCGCACAAAGCGCCTGTGAAAGCAAAAGGAGAGCTTGCACCGCCTGCTGGAAAAGGGTAAGACTCTTGTCTCCTTGGAAGAGATGTTGCAGGAAAAGCCTCAAAGCTATAGTGTCACCTTGGCCCCTAGAGGATCCTGGGTGTGGTCTGAAAACGGTCAATACAGAATGTCACTTGCATGGCTTGACAGTGAGCGTTAAGTCTCTGATTAACTGCATTCTCTTAATTATCTCATCGAGTAGGGTTGCAACAATGGCAATCCCTTCATTGTGTTAATAGTTGTGGTTCACAGACTTTGTGCCTGGGTGTATGTAAGTGTTACATGTGTACACACCATAATTTGTAAATTGGGCGGGTACAGATATGAAATCTGAATGACACTCTTGTAGAAAGATTTCCGGAGATATAAAGCATGTGACTGGAGATATTGTGTATTACAAATAGCGTTAAACCAGTAAAAGAAATGTAGCTGTATAGAGTTATAGTATGTCTGTTTTGCAATGTTGGGTGTGATTGAACACAAGCACAATTGCTATGTAAACTTAAATATTTGTTTAGCAGCTTATGTCACCCCCCTCATGCTCTTTTTAATATGCCTGCATTTCCTATCTCATACACTTCTGCCACAAAATAGTACACGTGGAGAATGCATCTCTGCTGTAGAGTGAGAGCACTGTTTGTAAAGGAGACATAGAACATTTTCAGAAAGTTACAACTTGAAGGTCGTGCAGCCTGGTACGTGACTGTTTCAGCCCATTTCTAATTCAGTCTTTACTCACTGCCGTGAGCCCTCAACAGGCCTTCTGAGGCTGGGTGGAGTGATGCCTTTAGAGGTACTCTTCTGGTAATGTTGCATCTGCTGCTGAATAGCATGGCAACTCTCCAGCTGCCTCAAATGGCATGTTTTCTTTTACCTCTCAAACACCGCACATGTTTCACACCTGTGCTCTGCACAGTATAAAGTGTACCTGAAGTCCTGCATCCAGTTCACTGCAGAAAGGATGTGGACACATTGGAGAGGGTCCAGCGGAGGGCAACCAAAATGATTCGGGGGCTGGAGCACATGACCTAAGAGGAGAGGCTGAGAGATTTGGGTTTGTTTAGAAGAGAAGAGTGAGGGGGGATTTGAGAGCAGCCTTCAACTACCCGAAGGGGGTTTCAAAGAGGATGGAGAGAGGCTGTTCTCAGTGGGGGCAGATGGCAGAATGAAGATCATTGGGCTCAAGTTACAGTGGGGGAAGTCTAGGTCGGATATGAGGAAAAACTGTTTCCCTAGGTGGGTGGGGAAGCGCTGGGATGGGTTCCCTAGGGAGAGGGCGGAATCTCCATCCCTTTTAGTGAAGGCTGGGCTGATTGAGTGGGGATTGGTCCTGCTTTGGGCAGGGGGCTGGACTCGATGACTCCTGAGGTCTCTTCCAGCCTTAGAATTCTGGGGTTCTAAGAGAGCATATTGAATAGGTAGCAAAAGAGAGAAGCTCACAACCTTTGCAGGCAGCCTGTCAGCTCCGACCCTGGTTCATAATGGGTGTAACATCACCCAGTGGCTCATCACGGTCCTGAAAAAGAGCACTGCTGGAATTGAGTTGAAGGGGACCCCTTTGCTGTTGAGTATAAAAGCATAAAGGCAATGCACAAGTATATTGGTTTTTGTGGGGCTTCACATGGTAAATTGCTAGAGGAAAACCTTGGGTCGCTGTTTGGAAAGAGGCATGTACAAATGGATGCACACCACCTTAGCAGGCAAGTGAATCTGTTGTTTGCACTTAAGTTAGTTGTCTGTGTGTCTCACTTTGAAGTCTGGCCCACGGTTTGTAAGCAGGCATGTGTTTCAGATACCCATGTATCATCCAAAACGAATTCCAAGGGGAACTGTAAACTGCTGGAGTAGGTTGTCACCATAATACTGGCTGTTTTTATAACAGCTGGTCTCTTTAAAAACCTTTCATATTAGAATGCAATAAACTCTCCTGGCGAAGGAGCTCTGTAGTGTCTGGGAATGCTTCTGTGAGATGCAGTTTGCGTTTTCTTTTCCAAAAAACACAATAACAATAAGTGGATCGTGTTTTATTAGTGGAAATGTTGGGGAGTTGCGTTCCTTTGGAAAATCCCCGTGTTCTGTGCCCAGTGTGTGCAGTTCTGCATGAGAATATCAGATCTCCACTTGAACTTTGCAGGGAGAAGCCTGTGAAGAAAGTAGCTGCCCTTCCAGTCCCACCGCCGTTGACTAAAGTTGCCACAGCTGCCCCAGAGCCAGCCAAACCAGCGGACAATAGAGAGGCCAGAAGGAAGGAACGTCAAACGAGAACGCCTCCCAGGAGGTAGGAGAACCTGGCTTTGATCACATGTACGAGTGGAAGAGCCGTGTAATTGCTAATGGAGGGACAAACCTGGAACTCGTTCTGACATAGAAATCTGTTCCTGTGGGTAGCAAGGGAACGGGAAGAGGAGCAGAAAGCATTAGTTGTGTGCAATTAAAAACACAAACAGGCTGATCTCTCGAGAGACCTATTAGGTGAGAACAGCAGGTGGAATCCTTGAATCGCACCAAAAGGAGATCATCGCGTTATACATTTTAGAGCAGCTGGCTAGTTAGTTCAGCCGTTGGGGAATCAAAGGACACTCGGGCCAGATCTATCCTACGGGGGAAGGTCAGCTTAAGGGGGAATGTCTGTTGCACCTTATAGACTAACAGATGCAACTGACGAAGTGGGTCTTTGCCCACAAAAGCTTATGCTCCAATAAATCTGTTAGTCTGAATCTGCAAAAGCGACAAGGAGTCCTGTGGCACTTCGTAGACTAACACGGCTTCCCCTCTGAAGCTTAAGGTACACAATTCCAGCTATGTAAATAACGTAGCTGGAGTAGCTGGAGTCACCGTACGTTAAGCTGAACTTTGGCACCATTCCCACAGTGGGAGCTTGACAGAAGAAACATTCCTATCAACTTCCCTCGCTCTTCACAACCAAGAAGAGTACCAGCGTGGATGAGGGCGCCCTCAGTGTTCCATTTAGCGGGTCTTTACTAGACCCACTAAATCGGACCTGACCTCAGTGCTACGTTGAATCCAAAGGTTCTTGCTCTATAATGAAGTCAAGGGAGGGAAGGACTTGATTCTGTGCCAACCCAGAAGAAAATGTGACTTCAAAAATGTGGGACTTCCCTAAGACCTAGCTTGACGTGTGTCCTTAAAGGGCAAACAATAGCTTTCCTAGGTCCTCGTGTTTAAAATAAATAAAATCAAGTCCTGTATCATCAGTTTGTTTTCCTTTCAGTCACAAGCTTCCTAGGTTCATTCCTAGTTTTGAATGCAGCTGGTCCTCTTGTCCCTTCCTAGTGACTAGAGAAGAGTACAGAAAAGTGGGTTATGGTTCCCTTATTGCCTGGGTGGGATACCTCAGGCCCCCGGCTTGCCTGGATCCAGCCCCTGAGTTTCAGGGCTCCCCCTCCCCAGCATTGGGGAGCCCACGCTGGCACTCCAGCCTCCCCCCACAGGGCTGGAGCACATACAATCTACTAACCTAAGCCCCCCTAGACCCTGGAGTGAGGGGAGCATGGGGAGTGTCTTTCTGCTTCTCAGTCGGAGCCACGTCAGTTTGGGGGTTGGCTTTATTTTGTTGTTTCTTTTTTGTTTGCTTTTGGGGGTTTTGGCCCTGATCCCCTCATTCCCAGCCAGCCTGCTCCTGCATCCACCTTCCCACCGAGACCCTGCTCTCCCACTCTGCTCCTGCGCCCTGCCTCCCGGCCACCCCCGGTCCACTCCTGCGCCCTGCCTCCCGGCCACTCCTCCCATCTCCAGCCTTCTCCTGCATTGGAAACCTCTTGCTCACCACTGATCAAATGCACAAAAGAACCACTTCTGCTTGGCTGCTGAGTAGAGTCAGAGGAGAACAGTTTCTTTGAATCTCTGTTGCAGACGGACTGTAAGCGGCAGCATCAGTGGCAGTGCCAGCAGCTATAGCGGCTCCAGTTCCCGATCTAGATCCTTGTCTCGGTCTCTCTCCAGATCTCATTCCCGATCAACGTCTGCCTCAGTTTCCCCCTCCCCATCTGGGTCCAGGAAATCCAGGTAAAGCACTGTGTTTTATACTTTATCATAAGGTCAGCAGGCCCAGGTTGTGTGACAGCGTTGTACTGGACCGGTTGGAGAGTTTACATGGCAGGAAACCACCTTAGATCTAGATCCTTGTCTCGGTCTCTCTCCAGATCTCATTCCCGATCAACGTCTGCCTCAGTTTCCCCCTCCCCATCTGGGTCCAGGAAATCCAGGTAAAGCACTGTGTTTTATACTTTATCATAAGGTCAGCAGGCCCAGGTTGTGTGACAGCGTTGTACTGGACCGGTTGGAGAGTTTACATGGCAGGAAACCACCTTAGAAAAATTAAAACAGTTAACAGCCGCCATGTTGCCTATTCTAGAAAATAATGAAATTGTCAGTGTGACCTGAATCATCCCACTTTCAGTGCAGCTTGGGGCTGGGGCCTCTTCTCTCCCTGTTTTCAAATCCTAACCGAGCATTTACGTAGCTGTTGTAAATAACAATTCCAGGGTGTTTATTTTTTGAAGACAGTAGGCATTTATATTCCAGCATGTGGCTATTCTAGACTTTCCCTAAACCTCACTGCTCAATTTCCTTACCATTGAAGCCTGGCACGTCAGCACAGCTTGGTCATAAAGCATCTCCGACGTCTGTCGAGGGGTGGTGTTTTGTGCTGGCAATAGCACAGGGAGTTGCAAGAACGGTTCCCATTGCATGTTTTGCCTAAGGCGCCGTTACGTTCTTTGAAGCAGATGGAGTGCTGTGTCGGTGAGCTCCCTCCGATGCCCAGTGACTAACAAATTCCGATAGTCCTGAAATGAGTCCCTGTCAAATGCATCTCCAGATAAACTTGTGAAGCCTTTTCATACTCAAGAGTCCTGGGAGCAGCTGCCCTGGTTTTTCTATCTGAAGTTCGTAGGTCCTTGGCTAGTGTGATGGGTGTGGGATAGAAAGTGGTTTGAATCAGTCCGTTCGCAGCTTTGTACGCTGCAGAGCTGCACTGTTGCCCGGCTGCGGTTTCTCCCAGGAATGTACGCAGGTTTGGGAAATATTTGTCCGATTCACTAGGCCCTCCACAGGCTGAGAGATGAGGGGTGAGTCTGCCTCTCCAGTGCTCTCTTTTTACCTCAACCCCTGCTCAAGCTTTATATCTAGGACTTCACTTGTCTACTTTTTCCGTTATTTCTTACACCATGCCAGGCGGTGAGCTTGCTTACACTACCGACACGGCCTGGATAGGGCGCGAGGGTAGATGGACGGTGCGGGCTGGTGTTCCTACTTAACCATAAACAAGCTGGCTTAATAGTTGCTACCATGCGGCTTTGCCCAGCAATGTGCCAACTCCATGTGTGTCCCTGTCAGAGCACCAGGGCTGCTCAGACTTCCGGACCAAAGCACGTAGGAGTGGGGTGGCCAGCCCGTTACTGGCAAAGAACCAAAATAGTTGTACGTGTAGCGCAAAGAGCCGGAGGGGGATTGAGTCAAGCAAAAAAACCCAAACAAACCACCCCTGCCGCATTTGGTCGTCGAGCCAAAAAAAAAAAAGGAAGCTCACCCCTAGGTTGTGCAGCCAAAAAAAAAAAAAGGACTGCCCCTTTAAGAAACGCAGTTAAAGGCTTTTTGGCCGCATCAGGCTCCCGCTGGCCACCGCCATCTTAAAAATGCCATTTTGAAAGGGGAGCCATCCGGCGCGACCGACCCCCCGTGAGCACCGGGAGGCATGGGCTGTTTTCAAGGCCGCGGTGCGGGGGGGAGGATCTGCATGCAGCTCACGAGCCACGGGTTGGCCATGGCTGATGTAGGAGATAGTGACTGTCCTCAGCCCCAAACAGACTGCTGAGATGATTCTGTAGCCCCTGCCTCCCTTGGACATGAGAGTGTCCCTGGCTCACCACGTGGTCGTTCAGAGCGCCTCGCTTCGGCCGCACACGGCTGAGTGGTGAGCTTGTGATGTGCCCTCCCTGAATTTCCCTGCGACAGACCAAAGGTTTGGGATCCGGGAGTGGCTTATCCTGATCTGGTCCCAAGCCAAGTCTAAAGGCTGCATCTCCAAATACAGTCGTGGTTCTCCCGCCTGTTAACCGTGTGGAACGTGTCCTCGCTCATCAGCATCCGCCTTGTGGGCCTCCCTGCCCTCTGCCGTATCCCAGCTTCCCCATCCCTGTGGGAACCTGGTGGCCTCTGGAACCCCTGGCATGGAGAAGTCACGTCTATTAGAGCTTCTTTGGTAATTAAGTATCAGGCAGCGTATATGATAGGGGGTAACTCTTGAGTTAAACCCCATCCCTGAAACATGTCGTCCGAGACTCACCCTAGTTCTTGCTTTATGGATGTCTGTGAAGTGATAGTCTGGAGTCCGAGTGTGTCTAATTGTGCGCAGTGTTACATGGAAGGGTTTGGTGATCTTGCACCTAACACGCTTGGGATGGGTTGTGCCATGCCTGCCTGCGGAGATCATAGAATCAGCGTTGGAGGAGAGCTCAGATGCAGACACGCTTCTGGCCTGGAGTCCCACGGGCCTGCTCCACTCGTGCAGCACAGGAGTTCGAGAAGGGGTGTGTGAGAATTCAGGTTGCCTGGCGGGGCTGGCAGGGGGTGTGAGAGTCTCTGTCTGCTTTCCAGGTCCCTGAGCGTGAGCAGCGTCTCCTCTGTCTCTAGTGCCTCCTCCAGTAGCAGTTCCATACGCAGTGCGGACTCTGAAGACATGTACGCCGACCTGGCCAGCCCCGTGTCCTCGGCCAGCTCCCGATCCCTGACCCCAGCCCAGCAAAAGAAAGGTAGGAAGCGCCCAGTTTGCGATTACTGGGATCCCGAGAATGAGGGGGTGGGGGGCTAGCTCTTCAGAGAGCTCACGGGGTGGCACAGGACGTCCCCACTGTCCGTCCAAGGTACTTTCCGAAAACCATGGCCGTATCGCGAGAGGACGTAACACGGGACGGTTTTCCCATGGCTGACTTCCGTTTGTGTAAATTGTTCTCTGTGTGTGTGTGACGGAAGAGTGGGGAACGGGAGGACGTGGAACGAACAGTTCCCACAAGCGTCAATGACGCTAGTGTGGTACCAGCACATGCGGGGGTGACTTACCGCGGGGATGCCCTGCATGGAACCCGTGACGTGGAGGTAGATAGGGCGGTGGGGAGCAGCCGTGGTTTAACGTAGATGGGGGGAGTCCCAAGATGAATGCTGAGAGAGATGCACGCTCCCCATCACGCTTCCATGGCCCATCTCCTTTGCACGCCCGCCCTCGGGAGCCGGCCTCTTCCTGGGGGATCATTATTTCCTCTCCCAGACACCCCATCTGCTCATTCGAGACCCTATTCCCGCCTGATGCAAGAGCTGCCTGTTCCTCGCTTGCTAGTATGTTAAGTATTCTCCCCTGGGGGACGCTGGCTTCCTACCGGTTTGAATCTGGACCCGATTGGCTTTGCAGTCCCTGCCGCGCCTGCCTGCCTTTCCGCCTTTCTGGAAAAGGCAGGGCAGGGTTTATTGCGAGCAGCTGACAGTGGCTTTCTGGTTTCAGCAGGCAAGTCGAAAAAAGAAGACAGCGCTAAAGAGGAGAAACGGAAACGGGAGGCGCCTGCCCAGCCCCTGAAATCGACAAAACCCGCGCAAGCGAGTAAAGCGCAGCAACTTCTCCCGCCCCCACCACCCCAGCCGCAGCAGGCGGGCTTCAGTGCCCACAAAGAGATCAAATTGACGCTGCTGAATAAGGTGAGACGTGGGGCGAGAGCTCTCGAAGGGGCAGGAAGGGGCCGGCTGCTGGTCCTCCGCTGGCCGGAGGGGAGTTGGCAGCCCTCGTGCCAGGGGAACTCTGTGGCCGAGGTCTGCGGTTGCTTCTCAAGGGCTTGTGGAAAGCAGATCCTGCTGGGCAGTGGACGCTGCGTCTTAACTTCTGGCTGGGTTGGAAGCTTCCCTGGGGCACATTCCTCCTGCCCCATCGCCGGAGCGGCATTCTTTAGGCCTGTGGCCAGCTAGCTCCTTGGCCTGCGATCTCAGCGAGAGATCTCCTGAGCGAGGCAGGGTTACAGGTGGTGCCTTCCGCTGCAGGGTCTTCTGGCTCTGCCCAAGCCTGGCCAGCCTGCAGCCAAGTGGCTTGGGGTGCTGAGCCTGCCTTGGGAACGAGCCAGCCGGCTTCCGGGGAGCTCTGCAAACTGCCCCTGAAAGGGATTGGAGTGGGCCGGTGCTTGTGGCTGGAAATCCCAACGGGCCATCCCTTGCGGAGGGGGGGAGAAGCTGGTGGCTCGTTGGGCACAGCTCTCAGAGCGAGTGCTGAGCCTGCTGCCCCGGCATGCCGCTAGCAGAGAAAGCGCTCCTAGCGGTGGCCGTCCTTGGGCCAAGCGTCCTGGCCACATGCGCCGGCCCCTGGCAAAGCAGGCAGCTTGCCCCAGAGGCCCGGATCACGTCGGTTGGCGTGGAGGTTTCCTGCTCTCCCAACTTCTCCCGCCTCGGCGGCAGGGAGCAGCGCCACCAGCTGTGATGGGAACCCGTCCGAGAGCTCGGAAAGCATGTCAGGCTCTTCTCCATGGAGGGCACAATAAACAGCTGCCGCAGCATCACACAGCGTGGTGGTGGAACCCCCTCCCTTGGGCTGGGCATGTCCGGGCCCTGCAGATCGTGTAAATACTCGTGCCCTCCCCCAGCCAAGAGAGACGGGACAAAATGCAGCTTCTATCCTGTGCCAAGCTGTCAAATGTCCCATCGGCGGAAATGCGGTCTGCGCTGGGCCTAATGGCACCTGGCTCCGAGGGACCCCTGGGCTGGCCACTTGCGTCACAGGAACCTCCCGAAGGGCCGGGCCAGCGCAGTGGGCTGGCAGGAGTGTGTTAGTGCCTTCCACAAGCCAGAGCCCAGCTACACCTGTTGCTCCCTGTGAGGGGGGGGGTGTCTGGATCTAGCATCTGTTTCCTTCCATTGCAGGCGGCTGACAAAGGAAGCAGGAAGAGATACGAGCCAGCGGACAAAGACAGGCCGGGCTCCCCTCCAGCCAAGCGAGTGAACCTGTCACCCGAGAGAGGTGAGCAATCGGGGCGATGCAGCGAGGGGGGAACGCGCACTCAGCTCTCCCGCAGAGCTCAGGCAGTCACTTGGTCCGCGGGCTGCCAGCCGGTTAGAGTCCAGAAAGCGCCTGGCCCGCGCCCATCCACACCGAGGCTGTATCTTCTCTGATAGAAAATAGGGTGTTCGCCAGGCGCTGCCCCCGGGAAGCCAGAGGGGAGAAGGAACAAGGTCGTTAATGGCGAGGAAAAGAAGACAAGGTCGCTCCCTGGGGGCGGGGAAAGCGTTGGCCTCCCCAGCTGCCTTGTGTCTCTCCGTGCCTGGTCTCCACTTTGGATTCTCAGCAAGATCGTTATCTTGCCTCCGTTATCTCGCTGCAAAATCACCCCGCCCATCCTGTCTGTGGAAACAAAGGGCAGAATCCAGTGCACAAGTCGCAGGGAACATCCAGCGCATGCCGGCCTGCCCTCCTCTTGCTCCTGTCGCTGTCCCGGCTGTTTGAGAAACCCCCGTCTCCAGTCGTCTCCCTGCGCGGGGTGTTGCCCCAGGCTTTAGAGGCTTCTGAGGCTGCACAGAAAGTTGAGGGGTCAGAACATTATAGTTTAATATAGCTTAATTCCTGGGGGACAAGCACTCCCCACGCTTGTGTGCAACAGAATCTGAGCTGCCACTGTAACAGTGCCCCGCAACTCCAGGCTCTTCCCTTTCTCTTGTGACTTGTTAGCCCTGCACCCCGTCTGCTTGCCCCTTGGCAGCGGGGAGAGCCCTGTAGATATTGGGACCTCGAGGGGTCATCGAGTCCAGTCCCCTGCCCTCAAGGCAGGACCAAGCACCATCTAGATCGGGGTGGGCAATAATTTTTGATGAGGGGGAACACTTCACAAATTTTGGAAGTGGCCACGGACTGACCCGGACGGGGTGGGGTTGAGAGCTACCCTGCCAGGAGCTTTGCTTGGCCTGGGATCCCTGCCCCTGACTTCTGGCCAGTGGAAGGACCTGGAGCAGAGGGGAGGGTGCTGGGGGCGAGCCTCCTTCCAGAGATGTCTGGGGTGGAGGCTTCGATTCACATCACAGGGCTGGCAGCTCCTGGCCTCACTGCTAACCTGTTGCCTGGCAGCCGCCCGGCCGGCACAAGCTCTTTGAACAGATGCGGCTCCCAGGCAAAGGGCGAGCGGGGCCGAGAGCTGCGAGCCCTTTCAACTGCTTCTGTTCAAAGGGTTTGGCCTGCCGGGCACCTGCCCAGCAACGCAGCCGCCCAGCGGGTGAGCCCTTTACATAGAAGGGATTGCGTCTCTGGCTCCCTAGCAAGGCGCTAGCGGCACCAGGAGCTGCGAGCCCTTTAACTGGTTCTATTAAAAGGGCCTCGCGCCTTCCCCAGGGCTCCTGAGGCGCAAGGAAGTCAGGAGCCCTTTTAATAGAAGCAGCGCTCGGGGGCGGGGCCTGAAACTGCCTCCCAGGCTGGATCAAAGCCCTGGGCAGGTGGGATCTAGCTCGCTGAGAGGCTTTTGCCCCCGCGGTCTATAGCGTCCCTGCCCGGTGTCTGTCCAACCTGCTCTTCTGTATCTCCAGAGACGGGGATCCACAACCCCCTGGGCAATTCATCCCAGTGTTTGACCACCTGCACAGGCGGGAACTTTTTCCTGATGTCCAACTTGAACCTTCCTGGCTGCAGTTTAAGCCCCTTGCTCCTTGTCCTGTCCTCCGAGGTGAAGGAGAACAATTTTTCTCGCTCCTCGTCACGCCCTTTTTGATACCTGAAACCTATCTTGCTGTCATGTCCCCTCCGTCTTCTCTTTTCTAAACAAAAGTAGCCCAGTTCTGTCAGTCTTTCCCTCATAGGTCACATTCTCTGACCTTTCATCATTTGTGTTGCTCTTCTCTGGACTTCTCCATTTTCTCCCCATCTTTCTTGAAGTATGCTGCCCAGAACTGGACACACTATTCCAGCTGAGGTCTAATCAGCACAGAGTAGAGCAGAAGAATGACTTCTCGTGTCTTGCTCACCACACTCCCGTTCATGCATCCCAGAATCATGTTTGCTTGCTGCTTTTTAAAAAAAAATTTTTTTTTTTTTTTTTGGCAATTGTCACACTGTTGACTCATATTCAGCTTGTGGTCCACTGACCCCTAGATCCCTTTCCGCCATGCTCCTTCCTAGACAGTCGCTTCCCTTTCTGAATGTGTGAAACGGATTGTTCCTTCCCAAGTGGAGCCCTTTGCATTTGTCCTTATTAAGCTTTATCCTCAGACCTTTTCTCCAGTTTGTCCAGATCATTTGGAATTATGACCCTGTCCTCCAAAGCACTTGCAACCCCTCCCAGCTTGGGATCATCTGCAAACTTAATAAGTGTCCTCTGTATGCCATCATCTAAATCATTGATGAAGATATTGAACAGAACCGGTCCCAAAACAGACCCCTGCAGAACCCCACTTGTTAAGCCCTTCCAGCACGAGTGTGAACCGTTAGTAACTACCCTCTGAGAATGGTTCTCCAGCCATTGCCCCCACCTTATAGTAGCCCCATCTAGGTTGTATTTGCCTAGTTTATCGATAAGAAGGTCATGTGTACCAAATACTTTACTAAAGTCTAGGTATCCCACATCCACCGCCTCTCCCTTAGCCACAAGGCTCGTTATCCTATCACAGAAAGCAGTCCGATTGGTTTGACATGATTTGTTCTTCACAAATCCAAGCTGCCGCCTCTTGGCTCGCCAGTGGTCACCCTGCTTTGCTGCTAGTGCAGACGGGAGCAGCAGGCCAAGGAGGAAGTACTACACCGTTGCCCTGGAGCACTGTTCAGAAGCAGGCCGTGGCACGTGACGGTGTTTTCCTTGCTCTCTCGCCGTAGGTGTATTATGTCGGCCGTGGCTCAGAGCCAGAACAAAATCCTTCGAGTGCTGCTCACCTGGCTTGTCCCGCTACTGCCTTGGAGGATTGGGCTAGATTTGAGTGCTAGGACTTGGCGCCCGCAGGAAAACAGGCAGCTAGCTCAGAGACTCTCCTCTCCAGCCAGCTGGGAAACGAGGAGAGTCATTTCATCCTTGTTCTCAGATGCTGGCCGGCCGTGGGAACGTGAGGCTCAGAAGCCCGGCTGTTCTAGCCCTCCCAGCGCCTGACAGCCAGCAGGAGCAAGCACAATGACAGTCACTCAAATGGGCCGCCTGGATACACCCCCTCACATCAGCATGCGTTTGTGTGTAGCACTGTGGACATGCCTGGCCGGTCCCAGGCAAACAGCCAGATGCAGGCTCTGTCCCAGGGCCCCGCGAGCCAATGAAAGGATCTCGGCCTGGGAGGCCATGGGGTAGCGCTTTCTGCAGTTCCTTGCGTGGGACGAGAGGGTAAAGCTGTGTGCACCCAGGCTCCTCGGTGCCCGGTCTCGCTGCACAGAGAGGAGAGTCTCTCGGGGTGCTGCAGCTGGGCCTTCGCCTTTCTCTGAGGCCGTCTGGCCCGTCCAGGCCAAGGCTGTGTTTAAAACGCCAGTCACATGGCTCATGCAAAGGCTCAAACCTTTTGTCCTTCCGTTCTCCAGTGGGCCCTCGTGACAGGAAGCCAGCTGGAAGGATCTCTTCGCCCAAACAAGACCGGCAGAGAGGCCAGAACCCCAAACCGTCTCCCGCCCAGACAGACAGGTGAGTCGCCTCCTCCCGTCCTGTCTCCTGCCCACCTGGGGCTCGCTCCCTCTTGGCTAACGTGAGCAAAGCCAGCAGAAGAGCAAACTCCATGGCTTGTTGGCTAGGGAGAGAGCTCTTTGCCCTCAGACCCACGGAGGGAGATCTTTCCCTGCAAGAGCCTCACGCGTGGTCTGTGTGAAAGCTAGGCGGATGGGGATCGAATCTGGTATCGTGGAGTGACTTTTAGCTGGCACGGAGAAGCGAGGACATCTCTGCCCCTGCTTCCCTTCTGTGACTCAGTTTCCCTGCCTGTGAAATGGGTTTAATTCCTACCACTCAGGGAAGCTCTTTGTAGCGTGCCCAGAGATCCCCGGCTAAAAGGGGCTGCAGAAATGCCACGTATTAACAGTGATGATATTAACGAGACACAGCAACTTGCGAGTGAACAGCAGCCGGGGGAGCTGGCTGGGTGACGCTCAGACTGCGTGGAAGCCAGGGGAATCCATGCACTGGCTGTTGTCCCTTTGTGGGGCTCAGTCCTTGCACATGCTGGTTGTGACCTCTCGTGTCCTGCTTGGTGTGCACCATCCCTTCCCCCGGGGCTAATCGTGCACAAGACGAGCCACTTAAAATCCAGAGCAGGCTGCCAAGACGTGTCCCCTGCTGCTGGTTCTGTCTGAGTCCGTCCCCAGTGCTCTGGGGGGGAGGGGGGGTCTTACCACTCTCCCTGGAGCCTGGGAACTGAAACAGCAAATGCCACCCCCGTTGCAGCGCAGAGCCCGCACTGCAATTGCAGGGGGCTCGTGAGCAGGCAAGGACTGTGCTGCCAGCGTGGGCTCTGCAGGAACGCCCCTCCCCAAGGCAGGGCATGTCGTCCCTGGTCTGCGCCATCTGTGGACCCCTGTCTCCCCTCCTCCCCCACGTGCCTCTCACTCGCTCCCCGCCCCTCCCCAGCTGGAACACTGGGAATCAGCTGTTTGCAGCTGGGCAAGCTCTGGGAGGAGGAGGGGTAGGAAGCACGGGGTTCCAGTGCCACCCAAGAGGCACTTGGGGAGGGGCAGATGGGGGGGCTGCAGGTGGAACTCCAGTGGGCCGTGGGCAGCTGCAGCCCACTGAGATGAAGGGCCACTCGGGCAACCAAGAGCTGTGGGCGGGCCGCACTTCCCTGTCCCGCTCCTTCCTGCCAAGCTCTCTGCGAGCTGTGCGGCCAGCCTGGTCCCACACCTTCCCGGGCGGCAGGGGCTTCACAGCTCGACGTCCTGGGGCCCCGAGAAACTGAGGCTCAGAGCTCAGGCCTCCCGCTGCTCCGGGCTGCGCTTTACCCACACGCCCGGCCCTCCTCCTCCACAGGGAACGCCCGGCCCCAGGACTAGCGTTTCGAAGCTGCAGTGGTGAACCTGAGCCTTGTGGCCCACTGGGGCTGGAGCTGGCATCTGCCCCCTGCTGCGGGGTGGGTTCGCAGTGTCCTCTGCCGGGCCGGGGAACCGCCAGGGCCTGAGCTCGGGGAGGGGAGCAAAGGACAGTCGGGCAGAGCTTGGCTCTGAGGTTTCACGCGCTTTTCAGTTCACCTTTGCACAGCCCCCTTACTCGGGGATTAACGGCAGTGGCCTCCAGGGAGGAGTCGCTGGGCTTAAGGAGGATTTCCAAGCTGTTTCTGTCACCTGGGCTGTTGTCTGACCGCCCGTGTGACCGGCTGCCGGCCGGTAGCTAGAAGCAGCTCCACAGGTCACGGATCAGTCCCAGGGCACCAGTGTGTGCCAGCTGCCAGAAATTGTAGCCTTGGGACCTGCTGCCCGTCTGTGCGATGCAGAGTGCTTGCTGTATGCTCTGCCCTGCAATCCTTGCACACCAGGGGGCGGGGGACAGCCTTTCCTGGCTTCTCTCCAGCATCCCTCCCTCCCCTCCTGGCCGGGGCTTTCTCTGGGTTTTCGTGGCCCCGAGGAGGCGAGGGCGGCGGAGGGCAGGCCAAAGGAATTCATCAGAAAGATCAAACGGCAAGCGTGTGACTCGCCTCTTTGAAATCCAACTTGGCCAAGGTGCCTGGAAAAAGCCAGGCAGGGTGGCTGGCTCGCTGGGCAGCCCGAGCTGTGCGCGTTCAGCGTGCGGCTTCTTTGGAGCCATCAAGCTGAGCAATAGCTAGCTAGGTGATATTCCCTCGCCACCGCCTCCCTTTGCTTTACAAGCTGCCTTGCGAGAAGGGATGATAATTGCAGCAAACTCCCTGGAAGAGGGGCCGTGTCTTCCTGTGGGCCTATTCTGCCCGAGCCCTGCCCTGGGCTTCTGGGTTGCCACTGCAGGAGAAGAATTAGGGGTAGTGGGCTTAAAGGCCACCGTTTTGTGGGGATTTCCCAGCCGGCTTACCACGCCCCGGTCCCAAGTCCTAGAGATCATTCAGTTCAGCTGGCGTCCACAGCAGGCCTGCTTGCTTCGCTGCCCTTTCTGCAGCATGTGGGAAAATGTGCCATGGTATTGAAATCCTACCACCCTTCGAAAGGCCCACGGGGGCGGGGGGTGAGTCCTCTTTTACCGGTCAATCCCCTCTTACTCCAGTGTGGCTTTTCTCTCACCCCCCACCCCACAGGAAACGCCAGCTGTCGCCCCAGTCCAAGAGTTCCAGCAAAGTCACAAGTGTCCCAGGCAAAGCACCCGAGCCAGGCGCACCGGCGGCCGGCGCGAAGCCGGGCAAGTCCAGCACGCTGTCGCGGCGGGAAGAGCTCTTGAAGCAGCTAAAAGCCGTGGAAGACGCCATCGCTCGGAAACGGGCCAAAATTCCTGGGAAAGTATAGTCCAGCGTGCGCAGAGCTCTGTCGCCCCCCGGCTGAGAGACTCGTCCCTGTTTTTATAAATAGTCTACAAGCGGCCACTCTGGATTTTGCAGTTCTGTCTGATTTTTGGCTGCAATTCTTTTTAAAAATTAAAACAAAACACAAAAAAACACAAAAAAAGTTTGTCAGCTGAAAAATCCCACAAATGAGACGACTCACTCTGGCTCCTAACCCATACGGCGGAGCGTCTGGGGGGGATGCCTTTGCCGCATCAGCCATGCAAGACAGACCAAGCCGGCACCACGATGGAGGCCCAACCGCCACGTTTTCCCTGTAAATTATGCACAGAGGACTCCAAAATTCCAGCCCTGTCGGATACTTTCACTTTCTCTCTCTCTCTCTCTGTCTGCCCTCCCCTCTTTGCTAGCCATAAGTTGTACTCTTCTAGTTAGCCTTGCTGTGTGTTGAGTGTCTTCAGCAAAGCAGTTCTATATACTGTGTAACGAGAGAACCGAGAACCGCTGTGAACTACTGGCAACATCATCTTCTCTCCTTCCCCCCAGGAACAAAACACATAGATATATATTCTTGACGGAAGTCAGATTGGGAAATATGACCTGTCTTTTATTTTAAGCATCAGATTGTTTTAGTTGATTTAAAAAAAAAAAAAAGCAAAGGTATTGTGGGGTTGTCTGTCTGAGGAGGGTCTTTTTTTGAGGGGTCTCCCTGAAATAAAGTATTTTGATAAACAGTTCTTCCTATCTATTTTGTGCTATTCAGGATCCCAGTCCGGGCCTCTCACCGTGGTCTCTGGGCACCTGCCTTTGTCTGCTGGGCTATGTCTACACTCGCAGCTTCTTGCACACGTACGGCCGTTCTTGCGCAAGAATCCGCAGAGCGTCCACGCTGCCCGCCGGCTCTTGCGCAAGGAAATTGACAGTAGGGCGTGGTAAGAGGGGGCTTCTTGCGCAAGAGCTACGCTCTTTTTTTAACAGATGTAAGTTCTCTTGCGCCAGAGGGCAGTGTGGACACTGGGCAGGGATTTTTTGCGCGAGAAAGCCCCATGGCTAAAATGGCCATTGGAGCTTTCTTGCACAAGAGAGCCTCCACACTGCCATGGGCGCTCTTGCGCAAAAGCACATCTCTCACATGGCAGTGTGGACGTGTTCTTGCACAAGCCTTCCTGCACACGAACCCTTGCGCAAGAAGCCGCCAGTGTAGACATAGCCCTGGAGTATTTCTTCCCTCTGTCCCAAATGCTCTTCCCAAGTTGATTTCCCAGTGCGGTCGGGCGACAAAGCCATTTAATCTGTTTCTGGAGGCTCAAACACTGGGCTGCAGCCAGAATTTCCATCCAAGGCCAACTGTATTGTTCGACCCTTGCAGAACCGCCATCAGGGAGGTAGCACTATCCCCGCTTTTCAGATGGGGAAACTGAGGCATGGTCACTACGTGACATCCCCAAGTTCACGGTGCAAATCGGTGGCAGAGCCTGGAGGTCCTGGTGCTGAGGTTGGCGTTTGAACCGCCTGCCGGTGCTGCCTCTCCTGAGCCTGCTGTACCACTTCGCGAGCAGGTGTGGTACCACAAGCCAAGCACCGTCAGTGGGCAGAGGATGTCAGCTGAGGGAGAACCCACCCCTCCTAGTGATGAGCCAGGGTCCTAGCATATGGAACAGAATGTGTTTTACAGAGCGTGTTTCGTTTTTACGGGCGGGGGGACCCTATGCCCTAGATCAGCGATGGGCAAGTGAGGCTAGTGCGTGGGTCACATGAGCGGCCCTCCATCTCAGGGGGCCGCAGGATTCTCTGCACCAGGCCGGTCTCCCGGGAGAGGGCAGCATCGCTCACTGCGCTTGCTACCTAGAGTGTGCGGAGGGAGCCGTGGCAGCGCTGTGATTGGCTGCAGAGGGAGCGCCCGGCTCTTGCAGTTGGTGTGCGCAGTCCACACGCCCCTCACTGCACACGCGTGTCCCATTAGCAAGACCAGCAGCAAAAACCACTGCGCGGCCGAGAACCTGGCAGCCCTGCATGCGGGCAGAGGCAACACAGTGACTTGTGGGCCACGCGCAACCCCCATGGGCCGCAGGTGGCGCACCCCTGCCTCTAGATGCCCAGCTAAATGGGGCTCTTCTCTGGCTCTCCAGATTAACCGCATCCCCACCCACCCGAGGCTGGCGGGCGTGGGGCTGACCACCAGCTCTGCCTCCCTCAGCTTCCTCCCACTGTCGACCCCGGCGGGCGGGTGATACAGTTAATAGTGCCAGCCCAAATAACCGGTGTTGTACGGTGTAGCCTGTTCCACTGATCCCTCTCTAGGAAAGTTCAGTGGGAGAAAATGGAGGTTTCATGGTTTTGCTGGAGAATTTCATCAGGCAGTGAGGGTCCTTGGTGGTGGCTGGGATGCACTGGCCAGTCGCACGGTGAGTGCCTTTTGACAGGGGAGAGGGTTTGAATCCTACGCCCTCGTAGCACTGCGCTACCCAAGTCTCGGTGTGAGATGAAAGTGCTCAGGCCGCGCTCGGCCCTTGCCCCGCAAGGCCGTAACAAGCCACGAGAAACAATTCAATAGAGGGGACGCAGGTGCCCTGGGGAGGCCGTTCGGGTAGCGCTGGACGGAGGAGATGGTCGCTTAGCCCAAGGGGCTCTGTGCAAAATCCGCTGCTAGGTTTGGCTGCGCTACCCAAGTCTCGGTGTGAGATGAAAGTGCTCAGGCCGCGCTCGGCCCTTGCCCCGCAAGGCCGTAACAAGCCACGAGAAACAATTCAATAGAGGGGACGCAGGTGCCCTGGGGAGGCCGTTCGGGTAGCGCTGGACGGAGGAGATGGTCGCTTAGCCCAAGGGGCTCTGTGCAAAATCCGCTGCTAGGTTTGGCGGATGCGCAGCCCGGAGGCGTGACTCAGTGCCCAGCGGAGGGCCGCAGGTGCCCATGGGCGCTGGTTCTCGTGTTGATGGTGCAGAGCGGGTGGGTCTGAACCTTTCCCTGCATCTTCAGCCGCAGCTGGGAGGCCTGGACCCTTCACCTCTTCCCCAGAGCGCCTGCCACATTCTTCAACTTCCAGTAGCTCTGCTTTGACTTTCCTATCCTAAGGGAGGGCCTGCATATTTCTGGGAGCTGCCCAAACCCGGCCGCCTCCTGGGGCCAGTAGCAGGCTGGCTCGGGTCAGCAGTGACCTGTCCAAGGGCCACTTATGTAAAGGTCGTGAACCTGCTGGTTAAAAACAAAGCTTGCTGGTGGCATCGGGTGGCTGACTTGAGAGTCCTGGGGAAAGGGGCTGGTCAGGGTGTCCCCCAGTTTTGTGACCTGAATTTGCTGCTCACAGTCTCCCTGCTATGGCCACGGAGAGTTAGAGGCACTTTTTGCTTCCTACCGCCTGTTTCCTGCTGGTTTTCCTATGCCCCGCACTGCTGGGATCTGTCCCCTCCTGGGGACACGGGGATCCGGCCTCAGAGGCGACCGGCTACCAGGGTCGCTTGGTCTTAGTCGTTACGTCCACCTGCTTCCGTGTGCGCACCGGTAACGTTCGAATCCCTCGGGCCAGAGCTGGAAGTGGAGCGCCAGCCGTGCTGACCCGCTGCCCGGCTAGGACGTAGTGGCCGTAGGAAATGGATCCGGCCCCCGAGGCTCAGGGCCCCCTCCCTGCATTGGGGAGCCCGTATTGGCGCTCCAGCCCCCCCCACCTCGGGGCTGGCGCGCACAACCTGCCAGGCTGAGCCCCCCGAGGCTCTGGTGTGCAAGGGGAACGGGGGAGCGTCTCTCCCCCTCAAGGGCTACAGCAACGAGGGGTTTTCTGCTTCTCACTTGCATGTGGCCCCCAACTGATTTTTCTGGGGTCGGTGGCCTAGAGCGAGCGGGGAACCGGCCTTTGCTGGGGCTCACCCGCGGCTGCGTTTGGGGAGGATGTGGCCTTGGGGCGGTTCCCTCCAGTCCACGGACAGCGAATGAATCCGGCCGGGGCGCAGCCCCCCAACGAGCCGAGCGCGTCCCCATCGTTCACCGGCCGCCCCCTCAGGGGAGAGGCCTGGGCCCAGTCGCCGCACCCCTTCTCCCAGGGCCCTGCGGGGGGCCCAAAGCTGTCACGTGTGTGCCTGTGGTTGCCCTGGTGAGCCCCTGCCCGGGGGTCCCCAGCCCTGCGGCGCCTGGCCGGCCTTTCCCAGGGGTGCCCACGGCAGGACCTCTCCCCCGGCTTCAGCCCGCCTGGAACACGCGTGCGAGCGACACGGGCTGGCGCCCGCATCCCTGGCTCTGGTGCAAGTGGCATGTGGCCTCCGGCGCCCTCCCCTTGGCTCTCTCCCAGGCAGGGGCCCTGGGTTCATGGACTGGGCCCCTCCAAGCAATTCACCTGCAGGCACAGCACTGGGGGGCACGGACCCTTTCCCGGCGCAAAGTGTTAGGGCAAGATGGCTCCCAGAGCTCTTTTTCATAATCTCAGCTCTGGGGCACTGGCACAGGACTAGGCATATGGGTATAAATAATGTTTCATTTGTGAACCACATGCACAAATTTTCAAATTCATTTCCAGAAACTGATATTGCCAATAAGAGAATCCAGCAGCACATTGCTCAACATTTGATGAGGGGGTAGGTTTGAGGGATATTTTTGCTGGGTTTATTCCAAAACCAAATGAAATGCAATGTTCATAGTCTCCCACAGAAGTGACACTGCAAAGTTCATATTACCTTAGATGGCACATGACTTGATCAAACAGCAGAGTAAAGTCAATGTTCCTATCATTTTAAACCAATTCGTGAAGACAGAGAGCTAATTTAACCCTTTCTCTGCTAAACAGGGATCAATTATATCTGTAACTCTCTTTATTGTAATGCAACTTGTACTTCACTAGTAATGAAGTTTAGAAGGTCATAAGCAGTGTTACCTATGAGGTATGTGCTTGGGCAGTCACCCAGAAGATATTCAAATACCGCCCACCTGATTAGCAGAGTGCCCACAGCCACCCACAACAGGGAGCATGTGTTTCTACTGGTTGCACATCTGCTCATGTCTTGGTGCACAGAACAAAATGTATTCCACACATGGACAGCATTAGAGGGCTGAGCTTCAACGCTCAGCCCTGCCCCCGTGCCAGCCCTGAACTGTCCCGAAGTCGCCTGCGCAGAGGTGGGCAGAGCGCCTCACGCCGGCGCTGACCCAACCTGCCGCTGCCCGAGAGAT